TCTCTCCTTCCTTCCTCCTCATCCCTGTCCTCCTCTCTCTCCTTCCTCCTCATCTCCTGTCCTCTCTCTCCTTCCTTCCTCCTCATCCCCTGCCCTCCTCTCTCTCCTTCCTTCCTCCTCATCCCCTGCCCTCCTCTCTCTCCTTCCTTCCTCCTCATCCCCTGCCCTCCTCTCTCTCCTTCCTCCTCATCCCCTGCCCTCCTCTCTCTCCTTCCTCCTCATCCCCTGCCCTCCTCTCTCTCCTTCCTCCTCATCCCCTGTCCTCCTCTCTCTCCTTCCTCCTCATCCCCTGCCCTCCTCTCTCTCCTTCCTTCCTCCTCATCCCCTGCCCTCCTCTCTCTCCTTCCTTCCTCCTCATCCCTGTCCTCCTCTCTCTATCCTTCCTCCTCATCCCTGCCCTCCTCTCTCTCCTTCCTTCCTCCTCATCCCTGCCCTCCTCTCTCTCCTTCCTTCCTCCTCATCTCCTGTCCCTCTGTCCTCTCCCACTATTTCTTTCCATTCAGTGATTCATCTTCCACTGTTAACACAGCTCAATAACCACACAGTCTAAGGAAATAATGTCTCACCTCCCTTTTCCCCAAGTAAAGGCACCTTAAAAACCATTTGATCACTTTTTAGTTTACGTTATTTTGTCTTTCTTTCCAGCATACTCTGCTTTTGTGTTATTTGTTATCAATCAGTAAGAACATGGTATTCTAAAAGGATTAAGAAATGAACAGATGGCCTTGTTTTTTATCATCCCCCAGGAGTGCTCCTTCTTGTTCCTCAGGGACAACAGTTTTCTTCCTAGTGTAATTTGTTTTCTCCTCTGTTGTTCTTCTCCAAATCTCTAAGTAATACTCTGATATAGCTATAGTTTTCATTTCTGTATCTTACAATCACCCTTTAGCACGACCAATCATGACTTAGCTCTTTCCCTTCCCCACCCTGCCCCAGAGCTCCACCTTTTCCTTTCCCTTTATAAACACATATGCTTACAGTACTGGGCTTAATGGTTATAAAGTGGACTCAGTGATTTCTACTCGATAGCAGACTAAGCATTCATATCGGGAAACACCCAATGGAATAAAGATCAGAGAAAAATGATAAATATTAATTTATTGTAACTATTAAGGTGTGTAAGTTAGCAAAATAAGTACATTAAGTGATGTAACTTCAGGCAGAGGGAATGATCAAGTCAGGACATGCCTTCCTTTTAGGACTATTGGTCAATGAACACAGAAGGACAGGTATTAGAAGAAGACAGTAAGTATAAACACTGGTGAGTCCCTATGTGTGTTCATAAGAAAGAGGTAAATAAACATTTCCACTTTGGGGTCCACTCATCTCTTTTGCAATGGGCCAGCTGTTGAGATGTGAAAGCAGCTTTAGAAATAGATTAATCAGCAGCTATGGGTGTATTTCAATAAAACTTTATTTGTAAAAATCCCTACTACAAGCCATTGCAATGGTTTTGTATTCTTTCATCCTGACTGCAGTCCAGATGCTGCCAGACGAACAGCTGAAAACTGTACAGAAGCTAAGACAGAGCTTTGCCTTTTGAAAAGGTTGTAACACATGTGCACACACACTTACATACATAAGTGAAGAACAAAGTACAGAGAAAAAGGATGAGCATAAACCCTAAAATAATTATTACTTGGCTATTTACAGAGGGAAAAAAATGTTAGCTTTTACACTACAGTGATATGTACAAAAATCAGTTGAGCTTTTCTCTCTGCTCATTGCACTCAGTTTTTATTCTTTGAAGTGTCAATAATGATTTTGTTTCAAACATAACAAATCAAAAAATGTCTTATCTATTTTATATTGAAGACTCTCCAAATTTATATGTAAGAGAGTATGTAATCTCTTTCTTATGGAAGTCATTTTATATTTAAATTTTACTTTAATTATATACTTTAAATTGTAAACACATTTCCACAACTGGAAACCACATCTGACTAATGGCTGTCACATGGTGCAACCTGTTTCTCGAAGCTCTAATGAGGAGCCTTCACACTCATCCCCACCCTCCATGGGTGACTGACACTTGTGTGGGGTCCCAGTCAGCATTCCTAGTAAGGAGCCCCCAGTAGCTGATAGGATCAATGGAAGATCTTCAGGATTCAGCACCAGTCCAGTCTTCTTGGCAATGAAGACATAGTGCTGTGATGCTGGGGCTGTAAGTATCTCCATGGGGACCTTTGCGACACAGCCAGAGACATGCTTGACATCCTTGTCATTACAACTGCCAACAAATAAGAAAGGGTAATTCTAGTTCTACTTAGAAATATGTTAGCTCAGATCACATTCCAATACACTGCAACTGGAAAAGTGATTGTGTGGTTGGCCACACCTAAATTATACAGCTGTATTTGTACACATGGGGCTGACATCTTTAGCATAACATGTTAACTACCACAACACATGAGATACTTTTAGGAAACTGAGACCATCCTTGAGCATAGTAAACACTAAGTAAGTATTCATCAACAATCTCTAAAATGTTCCAAATAGCACCAAAAGCAGGAGAAAGACAATAAACTTATTTGCTTTGAATTTATTTTTATGACATATACATACTTGAAGACCAACCAAATTCTTAGATTATAAGGTTAACACTGGTGATTATAAAGCCTTGCTAACCTTAAAGGTAATTTCAACACTTGCTTTGAAACCTGTATTTTTTTGTAAGTTTGTAGGTAGTTCAAAGAGATACACTAAGGGTTTTTATTAGCTATGTGCGGTTTTTAAAGAAAGCTTCAGTCTTAGTCCTATGTGAGAGAGTACCACCTTCTTGGCTATTAGTATAATTTCAGAATTTTTTCTCCATGAACACCTATTAAAATTGCTAAGGAGGAGAATGCTATTTAAAATTGGAAGAACATTTTTCCTCTTTTGGAATATTTCCAGCATCCTGTCTGAATAGTACCCTAGTTTTACTAGTCCAACCATTTATAATTTAGTCACCAAAGTGTGGTGCCCGGGCAGTTACAGGACACGGTTGCCTGGGGCTTAATGGTCGGTTTTTAACTCTTATTTCTTCAGAATTAACATACCCCTCTGAGGAGACAACGCTCCCCACCCCTGCTTAAGTTCATTCATCAGGAGAATTATATGAGTGGAAGTTCAGGGCAAGAACAGGAGAAATGGAACAGAGGGGAGGGAGCCTTTGTTTCCTTTCCGAGGAATTTGGACAAGATTTAATAAGGACCATTTCCCATTTATTATTTTTTGAAATACATAACAGCTGAGGAAAAGTATTAATTTGGGGTTTGTAAAAATGCTGATTTGTATATCCAAAGCAAATTACACAAAATTGGGGTAGGTCATGTCAAAGGGAAATCATGTGGCCTCAGTTATTTGTGTGATGAGACAATCATGTCATGCACATTTTCTCAGGTAAGGACTAACAGAATGCTTCTGACATTTTCCAGGATTCCTTGCCAATGGTTATTTCCTGTGTCTGTCACCCCCACATCCTCCTTTCTCTCCCCTCCCCCACTTCCCTCCAGCCAGGTTATTTGCTACCCCTGTCACCCCCCACCCTCTCTCCCCTTCAGCCAATCTTTCTTCCACAGAGATTTTCTGTGTCTTGTTTTTATTGAGAGATTCTAAAGCATATTTAATCATGGGTCTGAACATAGCTTCAGGATAGTGATGGCATCGGACTCCTCATTAAATTCAAACCACAGTGACCCAGAGCCAAAGCTGATATAGTTGAGATTCCTTTTCTCTTGGTATTTATTTGGCTTTTATAAGACACTTGGTTAGAAGCAGAAAGTTTCAAGTTTAAGTGTTTACTTTTGATCTTTTCAATGTAAACATTTTAGCCCTGCTTTGCAATCTTAATGCACTTTTATATGTTTAAATTTCTTTTTAACTGACAGACAAAAAAATGAAAGCTGTGTATATTATAATAGGGCGTTAGGTTTCAGGGCATGTGCACATTATGGAACGCTAAATCAGATTAAATAACTCCATGTCCTCAAAATTTCATTATTTCCTAATGTTAGAAAAAAATCCTTTTAGTTTTATGAAATGGACACTATACTTCTGTTACAGTCATCGAGAACTTAAGGCTTTGAGCTAACTAAAATTTAGTACTTGTTGATTTTACTCCATTTTAAATTATAATCACAATAGCTTATGGATCCAAAAATTACACCCTCTAATCCTCTCACTTTCTCCAGCTCTTTTATTGTGAATTCCTTCTCAAGCTTTTGCTCTCTGCGTGCCTTCGTGCAATTACAAGTATTGCCTAAGATTCAGTCTTTTTTAATTTGATGGAGCAACATGCAAATGAAGGAGTCCTCCACTTCAGGAAATCACACTGTGCTGACAAGAATCAGAAAATGACTATTTTCCCCAGTCACTGTGATCTTTCAACTTCTCAAACTCAGATGGCGATCTTAAATACCAGTGTATTATTGGTCTTAAGAAATAATTGCGTCTGTTCATGTGGAGCTGTGTGCAGCCACGGCTCTAGAGTGCAGAAAGTTTCTAGCTTTGTAAATATTAGATGTGACAGTGTTGCTAGGAAACACACCCGGGAAGTAAGTAGAATACAAATTATGAAGTCTAAACTTTGCTATTGCAAACAGTGCAGTCCTAAGGCACCTTTCTATTGTCAAAACAGTTGGGCACACGTTTATATGCACGCGCTAAAGTTAAGAAGCAACTCCTTAAAATGAAGTAATCTAATCGTTTCCTGTTTCATTTTCCATTTTCTTTTCTCCCTGAGAGCTGAGTTGCTTAAAGTCACCAGGACAAGTCTGTTCCCAGTTTACTTCTTTTGGATTGGCTAAGCCCCTCTTTAAGAGTATGCTTTGTTCAGGGAAATGCTTTGGGTCAGTTGAGCAACACACACCGCTACTGTTAAAAAAAAAAAAAAAAAAAAAAAAAGCTGAGTAATGCTGGCGCTTTCTCAAGCTGGAGCTTTCTCATGTGGCTGATGCAAACCTGGAGAATTTGCATCATCATTGTAGCCCAGTAAGTTGGTGTGACAGGCGGTAGCTTAAATAGGAGTCCACGAGGAAGCTGAGCTGGTGTGTAATGATAGGGCAGCAGCCGCGGCTGCAGCAAACCGACTCCTGGAGCCGGTGCGGTGCCACACAGGTGCTCCGAGGACTAAGAGGCATAATTAGATAGCCGGGAAGGCAAAAACACACCTCTGGGGTTTCACCTGTGGACATCAGAGTGCAGAGCCAGTCAGTGAAAGCAAAGAGGTAGCAGAGACTCAACAGTGATCAGTCACATCTAGAGAAACCAAAGTTGAAAGTTTTTGTTTTTGTTTTGTTTTGTTTTGTTTTGTTTTCCCTCCTGTTTTCTCTTTCACTCCCCTCCCCTGGCGTGACACTACCATGGTCAGAAAGCCAGTTGTGGCCACCATCTCCAAAGGAGGTTACCTGCAGGGCAATGTGAGCGGGAGGCTGCCCCCCATGGGGGGCCAAGAGCCACCGGGGCAGGAGAAGGTGGTTCTGAAAAAGAAGATCACTTTGCTGAGGGGGGTCTCCATCATCATCGGCACCGTCATCGGATCGGGCATCTTCATCTCCCCCAAGGGCATACTCCAGAACACGGGCAGCGTGGGCATGTCCCTGGTTTTCTGGTCTGCCTGTGGAGTACTGTCACTTTTTGGTGAGTGCACTTCTTCTCTGGGGGTGTGGCTGTGTGGCTCTCTGGGAAAGCAAAGGGTTATTTCTGAGGAGTAAGTGAATGGCAAATGCTACAGGAAATGTTTTGAATTTTTGTTGTTGTTGTTGTTCAGGTATGTGCACTACCCAAACACACTGTCCGCTGTTGGCTTGGGCGGAATCCTCTCAGATTCTTTCCTTCAGGGTATACTCTCCTTTCCTGACCGAGACGGACTCTTGTATGACTTTTCTCTGGTGTGATGAGAGCAAAAACTAACTTTGATGACCCAGAAAGCCAAACAAGCCCTCTCTGCCAAGGGTTTGGGCTTTGTGAGGCATGCTTAGAGCGTTGTGGCAGCTGGCTGGCTGGGTGGAACACCTGTGAGGTGCAGCCAGCATGGCCTATTTACATGCAGAACTAGATGTTCAAAAGAGTGTCACAGACGTTTCATTAGCTTAACAAATGGGTGGCACTCTTTGCCTTTTTAATATTTTTAATTCATAAGCTTGTCCGTTCCTCATATTATGCAAAAGTCCTTGGAAAGGCAAGTGTTTGATGTGACTCAGTCTCCGTGAGTGACACAACTTTTTCCCCTTATACTTTTTTCTTAATACCTTTAAGAAAATTTCTCAGTATGAGTTTCCAGGCTTCACTTGGGTGTTAGTCTTTCCTCCTTGGATCTGCTTCCTTCATGTGTGATTTACTTGGTCTCTAGGGAAACAGATAATTTCTCCACTGAGATAATTTCTTTTACTGAAGTTCATCTGACCAGAACTGGTATTACTATGGTTATTATTTTTCTCTTCAAAATTTGTTTCTTTGGTTTGAGGATTAATACTGTAGAGGAAATAATTGATCCTTGATCAGGAAGACAAATCAACATAAAACTCCCCAAGTTCATTGTGAAGGTGACAAAATGGTGAACGGTCATTTTTATTTTTTTATTTGATTTATACTTTGGTCCCAAAGTAGCCCACACTTCAAAGTTGCTTTGTTACTCTGGGACCAAGTGCTAACTCTTGCTCCATTCATTCCTTCTGCTTAGGTCTTGTGGTATTTTAAATCACTGTTTGGAGAGAGTTACCTACCTAGAGAACTCAAATATCTGTTTCTAGGATGGAGGCATTTCAAACAATTTTGAAAGCAGACTTACTATAGAAAGATCTATAGAGGAATTGCTTTAAGAATCTGGAAAACTTGGTGGCATAATTTATGCGAATAGATTATGCTTGATGAAATGTTTGGTGACAGCTGTGTGCTGTCTCTTTCCAGTTCTCTTCATTCCTGAGAGTAATGCAGTTATCAAAAACTCCAGCCGAATCCTTACCATTATTAATATTAAAGTGGTTCTGGCAAATGCAGGTACAGATAAGCAAGGAGAAACTCAGTTGTTGATCTTAAGTGACAGTGTACCCCCAGGCTTTCATTATCTTACAGTACTTGATCTATTTAGAATAAATCAATATCTAATCAGAAAAACTACAACCAGTTTCTCAGACTTTGCATACTTCTACACAGGCAGCTTGCACTGTGTGATTTGATTTTCACACATAATCAATGGTCATTCAGATGCTGTAAAATAAATTACCTCGAATGCTGAGCTCGTTAAAGACACATTGACTTGAATGGTGAAAATATGCTTGTATATAGGTCTGTCACCCTTGATGGAAACTCAGGAAATGATGGAGAGCAGCTGAGGGAGTGTAATGTGAGTTTGAGCTCTAACTTCAGAGATGTGCTCTCATATCGTTTCCACTTAAATTACTGGGAGCTTTTTTGGCATAAAGTCTTCACAAATAGGAAGCAATCGAGGTATAAGGAGAAAATATTTCTTTTACTTTAAAGCTCTATAATTCAGAGAATACAAATCTAGAATGTGGACCAAGAGAGTCCCCAACTTAAGATGGTTCAGCATATGATTTTTTTTTTTTTTTACCTTCCAGTGGTAGGTGATAAGAATTTTTTTTTCAATAAATTACTTGAGATATTTTAACACTTACAAAATGAACTTTTTATAGGATGATTTTGTCTAGCTCAAAGCAAATGTGTAGGATGGTGCCTAGGCTATGTGTGGCCAATGAAGTTCCCACTGACTAGTGTTTTGAATGTTTTGGGGGACATAGTCACCCTCTGTAAGGGGAGCAGCATCTGTATTTGGTTTACAACTTTTTGAGCACTGAGGTCAACACATGGACTTTTATAGCCTGCTTTGAACTTCTTTTCATCTGGGCACACAGTTATGGAGCTTGAGACCTTTCAATGACAATTCTGTTCTCCCAGAACTCAATTTAAATCTGGGGCCAAGTGTACAGAGGTCTGGGTATTGATTCCCTCACAGTAAATTCCGAAGTGCTGAAGACTCTTTCCAATAACTAGGTTATATTGGTTGCTTTTCTGGACAACCTACCAACATGGTGACTACTTTTTCAGAAGAAGTTTACTAGAGCTAGTTACCTTTAATTCTAAATTAATGAAATACTCCAGAAGTTCTTCAATAGCTACCTGCAAGCTCATCACTTTAGCATCTGTTGGCATTAAAAGGCAGTAGAGCTGCTTGGGTCATTCTTTGGGATGGAGTCTGGACTCTGAGAATGCGTTGAGGTGTGGTCTTCAAGTCTTTCCTTATTTGTTCACTCTTTACTTTAAAAACATTCCCTAAGTGACTCTGAGATAATGCTCAATTCAGGGATCAGGTAAGTGACACTCAGACTTCACTAAATTTCCAAATTATATTTATTTTGGGTGTTCTATAGGAGATGCTGCTGATCAGTGATTACTTTCCACATGTGGAACCTCTTTAGGTGCTTGGGCAGAAACCATGTTACCTTTGAGCACTAAGCAATGGATTCAGAGTTTTTTTTGTTCTTTCTTTTTTGATAAAATTAAGATTTATTTTTATTTCCTTCTTAATTAACTGTGAACTAGTTGGTAAATATAGTGATATCATCAGTGTGGCATTTGCTGTGTCAGAATCAGTGCTTCCTGTGGTACACTTTAGCACCTTTATATGCACAAGTCTTTTTTGAGATCAAAATCCACTTTTTTTTCACTTCAAAGGGGACAAAAATTAGAATTTGGGGAGTTCAAATAGCTTCCTCAATCCCATCTGAGTATTACTTCTAAGCACACCTTAGTTTATAGTTGATTTTACATTACATACATGACTGTACATATGGAATCTCATTGTAAAACAGTTGTTCTTTCAATTTCCTGGGTGTTCATTTTGAAAACATTCATAATAACTATTTCTGAGAAGAGAACAACCAAATCAAGATTCATTTTGCTGATAAGACATATTCTATCAGTTAACTGAAGTCTCCCAAGGCATGCAGTCCCATTTTTCCCAAAGAACAGATGACCCATGTTTTGATATGCCATAGAAACATGATTTATTAAAATTTATTGAATACCATAGTGATGTAAGTTTGAGTACATAACTTGTCTGAGCAGGAAGTGATGTCGTTAGTCAAAGAATAGGTCAATGTCACTGACATCCGTCTTGTCTTTTCCCTCTGCTCTCTGGTTTCTGACCACACATTCACAACCACGTTTGTAGTTACCATTTTGAATGAAATTCCTTTCCTTACATTGATTTTCATTTCCTTTTATTTGATTTTTCTGTCTATGGGTATTTTACCTGTATGCATGCACAACATACTTGCTTGGTGCTGGAGGAGGCCAGAGGAGGGCATTGGATCACCTGGAACTAGAGATACAGACGGGTGGGTGTGAGTCACCATGTGGATGCTAAGGGTCGAGTTTGGGTCTTCTGGAAGAGCAGCCAGTGCTCTGAGCCATCTTTCCAGTCTTTGGCTTTTCTTTTTTCTTTTTTTCTTAGCATGAGGCAGGTCTCAAGTGTGAGGAAGTTAAAAGAGGAACGTGGTGGGTCTCAGTTATGAGATAAAGACTGTTCTCATGAAGAAGGTCATTCTGGCCAAAAGAAGTAGCCACATGGCATGTAACCCAAACACTGCTGTGTGGATTTCGTCACAAGACTGCTTGATTATGTGTCAAATTTGTGCCTTTTTATTATAACCATTCACAGGAGCCTTGTCCTATGCCGAATTGGGTACGAGCATAAAGAAATCTGGTGGTCATTACACATACATTCTGGAGGTCTTTGGTCCTTTACTAGCTTTTGTCCGAGTCTGGGTGGAACTGCTCATAATACGGTAAGGATGTGGAAACAATTAAGGGACAATAAGCCTATTCATTTCATCACTTTCCAGGATAATCTTGACTATTTTTAACTAACTACAAATGTGTGTCATATGATTTTGTAGGAAACATGATAACCCTAAGGCATAAAAAAGTTTTCTTTAAGCTCCAAATTTAATTCATATATGTTTTTCTAGGAAAGGTATTTATTAGAGAGGAGGTGAGACTTCAAAATCCACCTTGATGAACTGCACCTTTGACTGACCAGACACAATTTAATATACCAAGGATTAGAGTTTTTTTCTGATTGTTGATTGTGTCATCAGGCCATTTAACTTTACTACTTGTGACTAAGAAATGTCTGTGACAAAGAACTTAGGGTATTATCAAGTCTTATGCTTTACAGAAAGTTAAAAAAAAAAAGATCAAGTTTACATATCATGAGTGATTCATTTCCTCACATTAAACAAAACAGCGATCCGTAGTTGCGAAAATCTTTTGATTGTATTGCTGTAAGACTCCCTACCCCTTCCTGATTGTCTTGGCACTGAATAGCGCCAAGTCACTGTGAACAGCAAATTTCCTTCGACTTTGTGGGGAGTCTGTGATGTCACACCCGCCGCCTGTGTCACAGGTGTTTTGTGCTAACTGCTTCACAGGATGTGACTTGCACTTTCTGATCACAGAGCTCAATAGGAATCATCAGGGAACCTTGCTCTCCCTGTAAACATAGGACACACGGTGCTGAAATCTCAGGTGAGTTTTCATTCTTCCATGAACACAAGTGACGAAGGCGGAGCTCTCAAGTGATCCTTAGCAGGAATGATGGTTAATAACAAATTTCAGAGTGCTTCGTGCTTCATATTGGTTATGACAGTTCATCGTTGCTGCTTAGCCATTGCTAGAATCAAATGATGATAAAGGAGTGTTTTCACTGTTTCCCTAAGATCCCCCTGTCTGGAATTTACTTCTCTATCCCCTCTGTCATCTTAGCCATAGGTACTCTTCAAAGTTTATCTTTATACCTTTTTCTTTTTTCTTTGCTTTTCTTTCTTTCTTTCTTTTAAACAGTTAATTTCTGGTTTATCCCTAGTTTGTGGCATTTATTTTCATCTCTTAATTCTTCTGAAAACAAAAGTAGCCTCTAAATCCCATTTGACCTTGAACTCGTTACCTTGTATTTTATTTAATACTTTAACTACTATGTTGCATTTTTCCCAATTTAAGTATGTGAGATCAGGTCTTACACCTTTTATAACTTTCATTCAATTTACATCGGCACCCTGTGTATCCTGGATATGAATTCTTTCTTAACGAGTGCCAGAAAGTCCAAAATCATGTTATTTTGAATGTAACAAACTCAGCATTGAAATAAGAACACCTAGAATGCTGGCCTGTCAGGCTGTTGAGCTTCCCAGCCTGATGTCCTTCGACTTCACCCCATCTTCATCCATGCATTTGTTGTGGAACTTTATCTAATTGCTCAGTGTTGCTATTAGTGTGATCATTCCATTTGCAATGGACAGATACAGTGCCTATTCATTAAGTATTCTTTCTGAAAATTGCTGCAAATGGTAAATCGCAAGATAAAGAGATCTAAATTGGAATGAGCCACATTTCCTGCTCCTAAACAGCTGATAATCAGATGTTGCCTTAATTTTGAAAGAATTTATTCATGGTGTGTGTGTGTGTGTGTGTGTGTGTGTGTGTGTGTGTGTGTGTGTAGCTAAATTACCTAAATAAATTCTAAAAGCTTTTAAATACATTTGTATTCCCTTTTGTCACACTGGACTCTCACTGCTGGGGTAGTCTTTTAAATAGACCAAATAACAAATGACATGAAGAAGGACATGGTTCCCTAAGTACATAAATGCTTCTCTTCTATTAGTAATATGTATGATATCTAAATAGTAATAATTGTGATCTCTAATGTTAAAGTTATACTATCAAATTAAGGCTGTATTGCCAGAAATAACCTGCAAAATGAGTTCTAGCACAGTCACCCAACAGAACATGATGGGGACTTTAAAGTTAAGTTCAGTTTCTACTGTGTCACAGATGCTGTCCTAGCCGCTGCACTGGGATAAGATTCTGATTAGCAATAGACACAGTCTTGTTCCCATGGAATTCAAAGTCAAGTGGAGAGAAAGAGTTTCAATCTGGGAACCACATTAAATAGAATAAAAACCCTACTGTGATAAGCAGTGTGGAAGGGACAGGCTTGGTGCCGTGTAAGAGGACACTTAGACAGATCTGACCCAGGCAGAGCATTGAGGACACTTCTCTGGACCAAGACTGAATGGAAATACAAAGTACAAAAAGTAGCTATTTGATGTTGGTTCCACAAGTAGAGCATTCGAGCTGCCCTACATGTGCTGCTCACGGCAGAAGCAAAGGCGGCTGTTTGAAAAGGCTTTGGGCAGAGGTGATTCAGATCTAGATCCCAGGAGGATGACAAGAGAAGAGGTAGGGAAGCTTGGACCTGAGCGCATGTGCAAGACCTGACCATGGCCAAAGCATGTTTCAAGGAGACCAAAATGTCACGACCAGATTTCATTTTACAAATCAAAGACTTTTATAAGTGATAGAGAGAAACAAGAGCATCCCCTTTGGAGAAAAGAGAAAGGGGTCTCTAGGGAGAGAAGAAAGTTACGATGTTTGTGGTGCTGACTGGAGATAGGAGACCAAGGTTGGAGATAGGTGATAGCGGTTGGTTTCTGGTAATCCAGGGATCAGGCCTGGGTGTTAAGTAACCACAAGAAGGAAGAGAAGCTGAAAGGGACTCTTACTTGAGATGTTTAGCAATTCTGTGGACTTCCTTGTGTGTGGCAACAATATGCAGTCATATTGAAGATGAAATGGAAAATTCGTTTTTCCCTCTGAAGAAGTAAAGTGGGATGACTTATTGTCTGGATTTCTCTCTTCTCAGGCTGGGATTTTGTCTTATTCTGTGATTCTCTATATACAAATATTCTTCATAAATTCAAAATATTTACTTGGCTTCGAGATTTCTTTTTACTAGAAAATTAAGAGTCAACATTAAATATTTAGACACATTTTGGCAATGAATAATTATAAATACTAATTTTCACAAAGATTTTTAAAAATTAGCCTTTATTGGAATAGACAATATTTCATTTGGAGTGTATGGCAACTTAATGAAATACAAAGTTCTAAGCATAATAAATTTCTGTGTTAGATAGATTCCTCATGTTAGATAGTAAGACCTGAAGATAAAAAAGTTTTAGTGAGACTGTTGCTTATTGTTTTCTGTAGTTAACCTCAATATATTGTTTCTTAGGCCTGGAGCTACTGCTGTGATATCCCTGGCATTTGGACGCTACATTCTGGAACCGTTTTTTGTTCACTGTGAAATTCCTGAACTTGCAATCAAGCTGGTAACAGCTGTGGGCATCAGTGAGTATTATAGCTATCACAGAAAATAGGAACACAAGGTAACAAGGTGATTGGAGGTAAATTTTCTTTAGAATTTTTTGCATGGTATCCCCCAAATTGTGTTCTCTATGCTTACAGTTTCAAATCTGTATTGGAAACTAGAGGCAGGAACACAAGATTTGAAGTGGCCTCTGCTGTTACAATGCATGCCAACTGTGTCCTGGATCAACAGATGTGGGAGCTGATCTTTTAAAGTAGACAAATAAAAACTCCTTCCTTGGTGAAATATTAAATGGATGGTGTATCAGAAGACACTCTTACAGATGAAGAACTATTTTGAGGAATTGCTTTTGAACTGGAAATTACTCTATGCTAGTGATATATGAAATTGTTACTAGTGAATGGTCCTGGGGTTATGTTTATATGCTGGGTGTGTATGTTGTGTTTGTATTGTTTATAGTGATATATATGGCTGTCACCTTCAGTGTTATCATTTTCTCTGCCTATTTTTGGCCATGATAAGAATTTTTTCACAAGATTTGATAGTCAGTAGCTTTTCTCAGCTAGAAGACTTGTTTACGGGTTGCAAATCAGGAAGTTGTCCATTTTTTTATTAATGAGCATAGAAATTGAAGAAACAGATGAAATGAAAAGAGGAACATGTACAAGATTCCATAAGCAATACAGAACCAAATCTGATGGTCATTTCCTATAAAATTCTAGAATGTCATGGAAAAGGATAACAATTACAGATTGAATCATTGTTTTCTGAATCCTTATGATCATAGTTGACTAAGTTTAACAACCCAGAGAATGGTATATAGGAATAACTGAACTGCATACCCAAGGAAGACTGCTTAGAGGGTTTCTCCACAGAGGCTTAATACAATAACACAATGCTAAATGCACTTTTGACAGCAGGTGCCCTGAGGGCTAGTCTGTAACAAAGTGTGAGTGATTCTATGTGAAAACATCTCTGGTATGACATACATGGATTTCTCAACTAAACAGCTTAATTGTAAACACACAATTGTCCGGTGACATCTCTGGAAAGACAAAGAAAATGGCTGAAAAGTAGGCATTGTGGAGTTCTGGGCATTCAGATGTAGTTGTCTATGCCATTCTTCCCTTTATAGACACCACAGATAGGAAACCTAAGAACAATTGACCTCACTTCTCTGCACCTCAGTATGTTCATCAGAGAATTACGCCAGTGTTGTGGGGGCTGTGAGGATTCAGCAGTATGTAGAGTATTAGTGATGATGCCTGCAACTTATTAAGAATGCAGGGCAAGCGATGAATATTTATACTTCTGTGGAAAAATGTCACTGGGATTCCCCTGGGACCAGGGGCCTCCACAAGGCTACATTCCCAGCCCCTCAACAGCACTTAGGTTGCTTGTTTGTGCTCAGTAGCTATCTGTTACTGATTGACTTTATGAGAAGTCTAATGGATTTTTTTTGTTTAAAATCTAGCAGAAATACTTGTAGTTTGTGACCTGTTAACCATAAGTTTTAGGAGCTTCAGTTCTCAGGAAGCAAGGAGATTAGTGGAGTGAAACAGTCTGCCAGACAAGATGTTAGATCTGGAGCCATGAGCTTTTGTGGGGTGAATCATCTTACACAATGGTTATAATTACTATAGACCAACAACCTGGAACTGGAACGAAGTGTCCTGGTTTCTTGGTTATGTGATCTTGGTCTATTAAACTTATTTATGCTTCTGTTTTGTTGATTGATAAAATGCCTGTGAAATAACAATGCATCTTGAATGACTACAGAAAAGTAAAATTATATCAGAGTTTTAAGATCTTGAAGTGTTCCTTGCACATGGAAAGTTCTTGATGATTCTGATATTGCACTAACAGCCATTTTTACATCTACCATCTTGTCTTCCCTGAATGAGACCAAATCACATCAGAGTTGTTTAATGAAGACTGAGAAGGGAAAGAAGTTCTTTAAAATTAAATAACTCTTTAGACTAATACTATATGTTATTAATTAAAAATCATAATCAGAGATCTTAAAGCAAATCCTGATGTGCAGATACTTACAAGTCCACAACTTTTACCTGCTTTGACCATGAAATTAGATAAACAATGATGATATGTTTGTATTTTTATTTTTATAAGTCTGAATGACTCTGTCATTAATCTCAATTTTGCTAACTCTTTTAAAGGAGACATTCATATTTGAGGCAATTAAAAATTTCAACCCCCCAAAAAAACTGTTAAGGCATTGAAAGAAATGGTCAGTAAGCTGTGTTTGGGCTCATATATTTGTAGTAGAGTTTGGTGGAGGAATGCTTAGAGAAGAGCCTGAAGGATTGATGGAACCTCTATGTTTCGGTTTATTTTTGCCATTAGCTAGAGTATTAGTTTGTAAATTCTGACATAAACTGCAGATGCTGATCAGTACTGAAGTACTGAAAGAAAAACTGAATATTCTCTTGAGTCAGTGGGAAGTCATTTAAGTCAATGGCTTAATTGGAAAAGTCAAACTGCCTTTAAGAGGAATTTAGCTTTAACAGAGCAACAGGGGGTGGAGACAGAGATAAAGAGTAATTTACCTGGGGGCAAATCTCTCAAATACTTTATTTTTCAAAGTGAATATAGGTGATGTTCTGCCTGTGACAGGGGGAGGTTGTGGAGATGTAGAAAATGGAGTTTAATTGCATGAATTACTTCCCAAGTTCCTAGAGGGAAATGAGGAATTTAAATCTCTAGTTAAGTATAGAAAAAGGTCAAACTTCAAAAGAGTTTCAACTTTTGTGAAATATTAACCAACCATTTGAAAAATACTAGCAGGGCAGGGGAGGGATTTATCGAAATGCTAATTTACCCATAATTTTCAAAGTATCCCACTCTGGCAAATAATAAAGATGAGACACTTGTGTTTATCCAAAAATCCCATCCATTTTAGCAAAAATGTTAGGCACATTGAAGTGTAACTGGAAAATCTTGTAAGTTCACTGGCTTATGTTCCTAAGCCCAATTCTGACATGATCAATACCCTTCTATGGAAGCTCACCAGTTCCACTTCTTTTATAGTTTGAAGGGACAGGTATGTATATTCAGTATGTAAAATATTGAGCCTATTGTTATGGTCCTTCAAGCTGGACCCCAAAGAAGCACATTCTCAAATGGAATATTATCATTCCAACACTTTCTTCTTATGTGGCGAGTTGTACTCACATCTACCCTACCACATCTCTCTGAGTCTCATAGCCTTTGCTAGTTTACTTTACATAGATAAGAGTGGTGTTGTGCAGCTTCAACTTTGTGGAAGTAACTGGGAGGAACAATGAAAACGGCATTTATATATCATTGTGAAGCATAGCTAGGGGCTGAGAAGATGGCTCCCTAGGTAAAGTGTCTTCTAAGCAAGTGTGAAGACCTGAGTTTCATCCCCAGCCTGTAAGTCCAGGGCTGAAGAATTAGACTGGACAGCCTCCAGGGCTAAATCAGTGAGCTCGAAGTTTAATGAGAGATCCTATCTCAAAAATAAAGCGGAGAGCAACTGAGAAAGACAGTCAACATCTGTCTCCGGCCTCTTAATGTGTATACGCACGTGCACACCTGCCCACACATGAAAACACGTACACACAGAGACAGACCAAATCAAACCACTCAATGCTACAAATACTATCATTTCTGTTTTGCTGGCACCTTCAGATTATATTGAAAATATATGACTAGCTTGTATTGGCAATTCAATCATAGTGTGTGTCTGTGGATGTCTTTAACTCTGAAACCTAGGTATTTTTACTCCTTTTCTCCAATAGCTAAATTACAACACAATGAAGCTGACTGTTCAGTAGATGCACAGCAAGATATACATATCCTTCAGGAGGATGATACAAAAAATGTGGGATTCAAATGTCCTGGGATCTTAAGACAAACATGAACCCTCCCAGAGAACCAAGAAAAAGAGATGTCACAAGCTGTAAAGAAACTGGTTATGCCAGTGAGCTCACACACATCTTTTGAGCTATTTCCTCATTGGGTCACCTGTGAGCTGGTGGTAAAGGCTTGAACTCAGGAGTTCACCTACCTGCCTTCTAATCTTATCTTCACACATACTGCCTATGTATGAACACCAGCAAATTAAACAGAACCTGGAGTTCCACCTGTTCGTATGAAATACATGACTGATAACAGCAACTATGTCATAGAAATGTGAGGATTAGCAAATATTACCCATGGAAATCTTTGCACCATGTCTGATATAAGATAGTAGTTTACATTTTTGTGGTGCTGGCTGTGTTTATTCCCAACAGTGAGATCATAGATACAGAATTGGCCCGCTGCCTTCTAAAGGTGCTTTCTGAGATCAGTGCATCCCGGAAATGGATGCTGAGAGATAAAGGAATCCAGCAGCTGCTGCGGGAAACAGTGGAGGCACCCACTTTATCTCATCATGTAGCATTCATATATAGCATCTGTATGTTTTATCAGTTTAGCACCAAAGGCTCCAAAGCCGGAAGCCCGAAAGAATATGGCTTTAAGAGACAACCCAATAATCTGTTACCTCTCTTTTCAAAATGAAAGACAGAGGCGAATGATGGAGTGTGCAGAAAGAAATATTTGCTAGTCCTTAAATCATAGCATCAGTCCCTAGGATTTCCCTAAACATTCCTTTTAAATACAACTTCTTTCAAAAATGGGTTTCTTATCTCTAGGATTTATGGATATAGCTTTTCCTGCTACATTGTAGTTTCTAGGAAACTGCATCATAAATAAGTAAATAAAGCCCATGTACTGCTGAATTTTCATATTGGTAAAAATTTGAAGTAAGCCCCCCCCCCCCCCCATTTCCTCATGTGTGAAATTAACTGCTACTCAAAGGGAGTAGAACTCAGGCCAGAATGCTGGCTCAGACTTCTTTTATTATTACAATATGCATAGATGGTACACATTCAAGGAGCAGATATGGTTTATGTCAGAAACTCAGAACACTCCTGTGTTTACTGAATCCCAAATCCCTATTCAGTACTGTGGGAGAAGTAGCACATGCAGCCTTAAATCCCTCTGCATAGACACAGGAGGAAGCAGCTGTTTTAGCAGCCTGAGAACCTCTTCTGGCTGCCCCATGGGTGACCTTGTTACTCACTGGACTCTACCTCCGGGTCATCGTGTTACACTCTCTGGAATATGGCGCAGCTACTAATGAGTGTGATATTAGATGCCCACATAAAGCTGACTTGTGAGAAAAGTTTGAGGAAAGTCAGTCTTACTCAGAATTCTTCCCTCGCCTAAGGGGAAGGAAGCAAGGGGAAAGGGTCAACTCCTGAAGGTTGTTTGTTTGATCTGTGTCTTCCATTTGTCCGGGAAAAGTCTAGAAAATAGAGAATAATATTCCAGAGCCTCATTGTTGTTCCTGTTTCAATGGACGTCAAGCATTTAGAAGGCAAGAAGCCTTTTCTCAAATATGCACATGGGCAGGTGTTCTTCAAAGGAGAACATTTCCTCTCGCCCAGTGTGTCGGCCTTTCTAGTTCCCTCTTCCTCCTCTTCCCTTTCTCCCAGGGCCTCTTTTCTACTGTGGACCACCTGAGATAGGGCGGACACAGTGCTCCTTTCCTGCTGATCGCAGCCAAGGCCAAGCTTTTTTCCACTTTCATGTCAAAGTTGGACCCCTTTAATTGAAAAAGTTATCATTCTCATGTGATAAGCCATTAATTGCACAAGAATTTGCATAGAGAAATGGATACTCATTCAATAAATTAGAGAGAAACAGTTGCATTTGATTATTTTCGATATGTAACGTCTCTGTATGCTTTGAAGACAGATACATTATTTTATTTTTTATCATTCCTGATAAAATAATGCCTTTGTGCACCGACAGTGGCTATATTTATTTCTTCATATATTCGGCATCAGAGATAGATGAATTATGATGTCCCCAGCTCAGGTCTTTCTGACCATTCCCATCATTATTTCTTTGACATACTTCATTATTGCCCCATTGCACTTTCAGTGGACTCTTCTGACCCCCCATCTTTGTCTTCTTTTCAAGAAGACTTAACTTACTGCTTCATTTACTGATTAAAATGTCTGTCTTTACTGAGGTATATTTGGCAAATAAAGTTGTGTTATTTTAGTCTGTGTAATGTGGTGACAATCTGCATATACCATGTGAACTGTTCCTTGTGAAGGCTTGTTCCTGTTTCTGTCATGTCCCTCCATTATCTCTTTAGTTTTGGTTGCGTGGAGGGAACATGTACACACATATATGTACATAGTTTACTCATTGACTGGGGTCGCTACAATTCTATCCTCCGCAAAATTTGTTGAAATGTTGCCGTAAACTAAATTTCAAATTTGAAAATTTTTGATGTTCTGTCATCTATAGTTGATATTATTTTATAACTATTTTTCAGATATCCTCTTTTCCCTGTCTCTGACTTTCTCATTGCCCCATGCGTACATCAATGACTCTGTGGGCCAGTAGCATGCCGTAAACACTTTTTCATGTGATACATGATTGATTATATACTGACTTCAGATGGCTGTCCAAAATCATTAAAAGAATGTCCATTAATTAGGCTCTGTCTGGGTATAGATTGTTTTAATTTTTTAAATTAGTTATTGTATGTTGGTAATATTTCAGCAATTCTTAATTAGGGAACTGAGGTCATGATTATATTATACAAGGGATGCATGTTGACAACTCCTGACTCTACACAATTCCAATTTGAATGGTAAGAATTATGCTAGTGGGTTTTTTAAATTTCCTGAGAAATAATTTTATACATTTTAAAAAATCTTTAAGGGAGAATACATCTTTACAAAAAGAAAGTTTATTGATGAAAACCATACATGTCCAGAATGAAATAGCTCTTAACTGCGTTTGGATACACTGTGCCTATGTTTTTGGCAAAAACATAAAGTTGAAATTCACTGTGTAGAATAACCCTAGACATTCCATCAGATAGGAAGAGCCTAGAATACCACCATTAAAACTTTTCATTAACATTTTTGATAACCCAGTTCACTCATTCATTCATTTTTTTCATACAACAAAAATATGTTAATTATCTACCTGGGCCAGGAATAGAGCTAATTACCTTTAATGCCTGAATAAATTCTTCTGTCCTTGATGTGGATAGGGGTGGCTGCTTGGAAAACTGTCAATGGTATCATTAAGAAGAAGAAAGTCTCCTGGCTTCAGGCCCATTGTGTGTCCTAAGTTGAAAAGTCCCAAGACTTACTTATCAAGTAGCCAAATATATATTGAAAGCCAACACTTGCAGGGTAGTTAAAACTCACCCCTCATTATCTGTTTGGAAAGCAGGGAGGAAGTCCAAGAACAGTACTGGGTAGGGCTGGTCCTGATGGTGAAGAGCAAGACCTCAGACACAGTACTTCTTACACTTTCCCTAATCAAATATAGCACTATCATGACCCACTGGATGACTTCAGGATGAAATCCAACACTATCATGACCCTCTGAATGACTTCAGGATGAAATTCAGCACTATCATGACCCACTGGATATCTCCAGGATGAAATTCAGCACTATCATGACCCACTGGATGACTTCAGGATGGAATTCAACACTATCATGACCCACTGGATGTCTCCAGGATGAAATTCAGCACTATCATGACCACTGGATGACGTCAGGATGAAATCCAACACTATCATGACCCTCTGGATGACTTCAGGATCAAATTCAATACTATCATGACCCACTGGATGTCTCCAGGATGAAATTCAGCACTATCATGACCCACTGGATGACTTCAGGATGGAATTCAACACTATCATGACCCTCTGAATGTCCTCAGGATGAAGATATTTTACTTTATTGTTATTGCACAGCAATGTATGTTCATTCTTACTAACATTCAAAGAGCAAAACAGGTTCTCTGACTGTGCGGGGGTTGTATCTAAGCTTTTCAGGCTTGAGTGTATATCAAAGAGGAGTCTTAATGCAGGAGGGACTAGATCTGGGGCAGAGCCTAGGATTCTTCTCTTCTTAGGTTCTGGTAGTTCATGCCAGCACTGCAGGTCTATAGATCACATTTCGACTGACAAGGACCTAAGACATCATTGTGCTCATGGGGGTTTGCCTTTTGTGACTTTGTCTGTTTGTTTGCAGCTGTGGTGATGGTCCTAAATAGCATGAGTGTCAGCTGGAGTGCCCGGATCCAGATTTTCCTAACCTTTTGCAAGCTCACAGCAATTCTGATAATTATAGTCCCTGGAGTTATACAGCTAATTAAAGGTATGGACTGAAAAGTAAATGCGTTTTAAACTGTGTATCTGCTTCTGGTCTCTTCTAACACTGACTTTCGCTTGTCTAGCAGAATCCTTAATTAGTCTTTGCTTGTGGAACTTAAACTCTGTACTGTCATCTAATTGATTTGAAAGGCTACACTGAGGGGAAGTCAGTATTTATAGTCGAATGGCAGCAAGAGAATTAAGAGTAGACCAAGCAACAAAAATAAGGTGTCTGAGAATTCTTTTGGTATAAATTAAAATTACTTGGAGTCAAAACCCAAAGTGAAACAAACAAACAAACAAACAAACAAACAAAACCCAAAACACTTCCCCCCCCAAACACACACACAAAATGAATTTGCTGTATAGCTTTAAGTACTGATCAATATATCGTTTATTTGTACTACAGAACTTTTCAGTAATAGTAACAAATGTGAAAGATAAAAGTATTTCTGGAAAATAATGGAGGATGACTAATAGTTCTTTATTTTCTCATTTGTATTTCCTTTCTCTGAGATTAGTGCCCACAGAAGAGCAGTAAGTTTTAAGAATAATATTCCTAAAAACAGGATCTTTATGTGACAATAAAAGAGTTGCAAAAGCTTAGTTCTTATCATTATATTATTTTCCCTGTAAAATTTGCATTTCTGAAGAAATGGGGCAGCTTCTGGATTTATTGGTCATGGAGCTTCCTATTTTATAAGATAAGAATTTGAGGGATGCTATCACGGAGTTAGGGTTGGCCTAGTAATAATAGTGTATGCGTTTGCTTAGATTTGGTGGAAATGGCTGGAAGAGAAAGAGGGCCCAAGGGGTTACTGAATTTGCGTCAGGAAACAACGGGAAATGATTAGAGCAAATCAGCTGGAAAGAGGTGATGTAGCATGTGGGCATGTTAAGTATTGTTTACATTAACATTGCCAGTTCCAGGAAAAGGAATTTCTAGAAATTGAATGACCCTAAAGGAGGAGAATTATAACAACACGCAAGGAAGCCACAAAGTTCAGTACAACCATTGCCATTGGCAGAGGCACCAAAAACTGAAAACTTGGCCACTCGAGCTGGGAGAGGGAACTGTTCTTGTCCATTTAATCAGCCTAGTGGGCGATCTTAGAGTCCTGCCAGTAAAAGGCTTTCATCAAATCCCAACACTTCAGCCCCAGAATAAACGCAATGAATCATTTGAACAGTAGAGCCGGTGTGTGAGAAGATGTGGGCTTGCTATCCCGATTCATGGCCTGCTCACATTCCATTATGAATGGAGGCAAAATTGTCCACACCCTCAGTGCTTTTTTTTTTTTTTTTTTTTTTTTTTTTGGTTTTTCGAGACAGGGTTTCTCTGTGTAGCTTTGTGCCTTTCCTGGAACTCGCTTTGGAGATCAGGCTGGCCTCGAACTCACAGAGATCCACCTGGCTCTGCCTCCCGAGTGCTGGGATTAAAGGCGTGCGTCACCACCGCCCGGCAAAAGTTTATTTTTATTTTTATTTATTTATTTATTTTTTTGGTTTTTCGAGACAGGGTTTCCCTGTGTAGCTTTGCACCTTTCCGACTGCCTCTGCCTCCCGAGTGCTGGGGTTAAAGGCGTGCGCCACCACCACCCGGCTCTCAGTGCTTTTGTCTCCTGGGCTGACTTTCTAATCTTCTGTAGAGAGCCTCTCCGATTCTGGAAAGGAGTGGAAGGGTGAGTCACTAGCTTTTCTAGACATGGCTCTTTTCTGCCTTTTCCTTTTGGTGTAATGCCAGATATGATAGGTAGTTATAGTCTGTCATTGGTTCTGACCCCTCATGTGTGTGTGTGTGTGTGTGTGTGTGTGTGTGTGTGTGTGTGTGTGTGTGCGTGTGTGCGTGTGTGTGCGCGCGCGCGCGCGTGCGCAAAGAGGGGCATGGTTAGCAGTTGATATTGTAGTGCAAATTCCTTGAGAACAGAGACCATGATGAAACCTCTGATTCTTTCCTGTCAGTTACAAAACAGTGGTATTTTAATTATTGCTTATGGTATCTGGCACATAGGTCCACCCTAATTCTTGCTTCTCACACAACAGAGAAATTTTCTGAGGATATTACTGCATTTGAAGCATAGTTTAATACTTTGGAGACCAGACGTATTTTCTTTATTACTACAAAATTTTATGAAATTGAGATTTTAAAACTTGTGACATAATCATTTAGTTTTTCCACATTTCTCTGAGACCTCAGGAAGAAAAAGACTTCACTGATAAGTGTGGTGTGTTTATTTCTACTCTAATCAGATCCTGATTGTAGCTGGATATTGTGCATTCACTTATGAAGGCTGGAACTTCCCTTTGAATGTTTCTTTCATCTTCTCAAGGCCTGTGCTATGCATCCAAAAATACTCCTGAAGTTCAGAAACAATGTGCCTCTTTGCGGCACTCTCAAAGTAGCTCACATGAAGAACTGTGGCCCAGTCTTTACAGTTTAGAACCTTTCTCTTATCCATTACTAATTGCTACACTCTGAAGGATAGCCTCTCGTTAGGCTAAGGAGACCACAGATCATAAAAGAATACCCAATAGATGTTTCTTTCTTTTAAAAAATATTTTATTTTTAAGAGTGTGTGTGTATGTGTGTCTGTGTGTGTGTATGTGTGCATGTGTGTGTGTGTATGTGTGTGTGTATGTGTGTGTGTATGTGTGTGTATGTGTGTCTGTGTGTGTGTATGTGTGTCTGTGTGTGTGTATGTATGTGTATGTGTCTGTGTGTGTGTGTGTATGTGTGTGTATGTGTCTGTGTGTGTGTGTGTGTGTATGTGTGTGTATGTGTCTGTGTGTGTGTGTGTGTGTGTATGCGCCCACATGTTTGTGTGTCTACAAATGGTCATGTGCACATGAACACAGGTGCCTGCCAAGGTCAGAAAAGGGCATCAGATGCCCTGAAGCTGGAGCAACAGGTGATTGTAAGCTACCTGCTATGGATGCTGGGAACTGAATTCAGGTCCTCTATAAGAGTAGCACCTGCTTTTAGGTGCTGAGCAACCTCTCAATTCCCAACAGATGTTTCTTTTCTGAATCTCAGTGTGTAGATTTTCCTTCTATTAAGGCATAGACATGTTTCAGTAAAATGGGCATTTCTAATTCACCCTGTCAAGTTTCCACAAAACTATATTTAGAAGTTGCTTGCTTTGAGAAAAATATCACTCTTCGTGTAATACAACCATGTCCTTTTAGCCTCTATCTTCACGTCCTATCACTATGAATACTGGGTCTCCTGATGTGGGCAATAGCTGATATTTGACTTACAAGGGAGTGTTGTATACCCATCATTCACCTTCTGTCCTCATGGCCCACTATTGTTACTTACTCAAGGTCAATTTTAAACAGAGTCATTTCCTGTTTGAGTACTCTCACTCAGTGTTTTTCTTTGGGGGTGGTAGATGACACAGATGCTTTTTTGTCCAATTTTGAATCTGTGCTTGCTAACATAAATCTGATTTTGTAATCTCTTAAACTACCCAAAAGATTCAAAGTAAAAGGTACCCACTGTTCACAAAATAGAGAAAAAAGTATGATGGACAAAAGTGTTCAGTTTACACATTGATGCCAAAGTTGGTAACACTTGGTTTGGTTTTTGGTATAATTTCTTATTCATATTTTTAGAAGAAAATGGGGGCATGCACCGTGACAGTGTCAATAAGTGTCTCTATAAAGAAAGCCCTTTGGGTTGAACGGCTTATCACAGTTAATTACACTATGCTGCTGGGTGACATTGGCCGTAGACACCCTTATATGAGTGGACATGGCTGTGCTCCAGGGAACCTTAAGATGAACAAGCCTTGCGGGTTTTGATGGTGAATTTTGTCTGTAGCTTTCCATGCTTTAGGAGGCAGGTGTGGGCTGCACTACAGGGGTAAACAGCAGGATGCTAAGTGATGTGAGAGGCAGTGCAGGTGTTTCTTGATGCCTCCTCACTGAAGCAGGCTCTGAGATTTCTTTTCATCCCCTACCATGTTATACATTATCTGCTAAGAGTTTTGCCAAACTCTTAAAACTTCACTTTATGGAAGATGCTTTAGTCTACTGCCGTGGTTAAAACAGAAGACACTCAAGCAAGGGGAATGGAGTTACCTATTTTAAGTGCTACTTTTATCCTGCTGGTCATCCACAAAAGAACTTTACAGTGGTCTAGGTGACTGGTGTGCATTTGAGATTCCTGTCCTAGCTTGGGTGCAGTTTTAATGGATGGAGTTGGCTATGAACAGAGAATCAGAACAGAGTAGCTCATCTCCCAACCATATGTAGAGTTGGAATAAATAATAATCAGTTCTTTGCAAAGCTCTAAAAATCCTCAAATTCTAATTGCAGGGCAAACACAGCACTTTGAAGATGCATTTTCAGGAAGAGATGCAAATTTAATGGGGTTGCCCTTGGCTTTTTATTATGGGATGTATGCATATGCTGGTTGGTAAGTTGATATCTCCAGATACTTTATTAAATTACTTCATTTGCCTTTTCTCTTGTTAATATGTGCTTTTGTTTGTTAGTTTGTTTGTTTTGAGACAGGTTTTCTCTGCGTAGTTTTGGTGCCTGTCCTGGATTTCTCTCTGTAGACCAGGCTGGCCTCAAACTCACAGAGATCCTCCTGGCTCTGCCTCCGAGTGCTGGGATTAAAGGTGTGTGCCACTGCTGCCTGGCCATCCTCTTGTTAATCTGTCTTTTATTATAGGAGTGTCAACTTTGACCCTAGTGATGGGTGAGGAAGCACATCACACATTTCTTCTCCAACTTGATTTTCATTATGTCATGTGCACAGCTATAGTCAAGTTTCAAGTAACATGGGATTCTCAGAAATGAAGACCTATAAAGCCAGGACAAATGTTTTTTTCATAGCCAAAGGATATAAAGCAATGCTAGTAGACTGGAGGGAAAGTAAGTGATGTGTGTTTGTTTAGATTCTCCTTGACTTCTTTGTGTAGCATTTCTTCCTCCTGGGATAGGATAGAACCTCTCTCAACCAAGACTCTTACGCTGCAGTATGAGACAAGGTGGAGCAGAGAACTTCCCAGCTACTGTCCACAGAAAGGCCGGAGGAAGTGTGAGACACGTTTTACACTTGACTTTGCGGGAGACAGGTTCTGGTGTCTGTGAGCACTTAGGGAACACAGATTCTAGCTTCTGCAGGTCACCCTGGGAGGGAAGAAAGAGAAACATGAAGGGAAGGTGGGAGGATCCTTCTTCAGAGATCCTTCCAATTTCCTCCAGTGTGGCAGAGCCTTTAACTTATGACGTCATTTCTGAGCCCCCAGACAGTCAGGGTTGCTATTAGATTTAGCCCTGTGGCATAAAAATGAACAAATAAGCAGATGCTGGAGATTTAACAGCCAGTATACATTACTTCTAATCTTTCATCAGTGAGGACAAAATAGTGCCATGGGGTACTTGGGGTTAGTACCCGCCCTGTCAAAAGGCCTTTGTGCCAGAGTACCAAGGATATTTATAAATAGTGGTTAATGAATTTTTTTTTTGTCTACCCTCTCATGAGGAAGAAACAATTCAGATGTAGAAATGAGATGGTCTCAGGAGATCAAAACGATAAAGATAGGAAAGGAGAAATCACAATAATAAAAGTCAACTGGTCGAATGGTATGCATCATATTCAAGGGCCTTTACACATTTCATTAAAACGTTTCCAGTAGCTGAAAACACAAACCAGTAAGTAGCCAATACGACTGGCACCACCATGCCACGGATTCGTTTATTTCCTTCATTCTTGTGTGACTGTGATTCCCGCTGCCCTGGCATAGCAGTATTTTGTGGAGAGCGTGAGTCACAGTAATCACATATCAGAGAGGCACTTCCTGTAACTAAATTTTGTTGACCTTTTAAGTTTTAGTTGAAATGACTATTTCAAGAAAGCCCACTAGGTACAACAAAATCGAAAAACTAGAATCATTGCAGGAAGATTAATTTTCATTGTTTTGGGGTAAATAATTGTAGTCGTTCTTTTTCCATATTTATAAAACCAGTAGTTAAAGCTGTGAAAACACTCTGTAAGCCTAAAAGCACTATCAAGAAACTTCATTATCACAAAAGTTATGTAAATATGTATATAACATGAATACAATTTTTTCTTCTTTCCTTCTCCTTTTATTTTATGTTTTCGGATCTTACCTTCCAGGGAATATCCAAATGCATTCCAAAATAAATAGAATATGTACCCTATTAATCTCACAAATTGTGAAAATATGGCATTAGAAGAGAATCAGCAGAGTATGGCTACATGGGTTTAGCATAGCTTTGAAGTGACATATGTTTGAAGGTTGTTAGGTTATAGCATAAGAAGATCAGCGTAAAATACTTGTATACCCAAAGAAGATTTTTGCAGCCATTGTGTGCACGCTTTAGTTTTGAATCTCAATTTTTTTGAAGCCTTTTCACTTTGTTCAAAGCACAATGTGGTGCTAAGCAGAGAAAAGGACTGAGTGTGATCACAGTGTTAGAAGCCGAATCAACTCTTCTCTCTTTTGAGCCTGGATCAGGGCTCCATGCCCTGGGGCAGCAGCCAAGCCACAGAGAGGGTCCCTGGGAGCCCCAGAGCAAAGCAAGGGAAGGGAGCAAGGGCTTTCTGCTCCAGCTGGGTGCTGGGAGCCTGTTGTACTCTGTCAAGAATGTGGAATGTGGTGATCTTCACAAGGCAGATTTGATTAATTCTGTTGAATGGAGTTTCTTTTGCCTGTGAGCACCATGCATCTGTTCCCACGGAATATTAAAACATTTCCACCCTCACTCCACTACCACCCGGCACTGAATATTCAGGTCACCTGCTTCATGTAGAGCCAATTTTCTCCACTTCTGAGGTTTTTGAGGGGCGGTGGATTTTTCCGTGGAAAAAGACTCTTTTCATCTTGACTTATCTTATTAATATTGTATTTTATTGATGCTGAGTCCAAAATGCCACTTGCTTTCACCTATAATGGAGGTTCACAGAAAACTTGATTTATACTCCCTACCCTAGCTTGAAGAGCCAGGAACCATCAATTTTTTGTGTGTGTGTTCTTGAAGATTCAGTCACAGTATTGGAAAGTACGTCTAGGATTGTAAATGAGAGGTTATCTGATCCAAATGGCTTAGCTAGGGCATGATAGGGAGCTATTTAGCTTTATGGGTTGTTATGCTGGCTTAATGCTGCTTTGTGAAGAGGGGGAATGACCTGGCTATTAATCTATGGCCCTCAGTCTGAGAAAAGAGAAGCAGAACAAAGAGAAGAGAGAGTGTGTGGGTTTGGCACTCCGGAGACACACATATTATTTCCATGTAAATGGATTAAGGTGGGGTCTGAAACGGTCTGGTCTCAAAGACTGGAGCATTGTAAGAACAGCCTTTGCTATCTGAATCCGCCATCTTTTACCGTATGATCGCAAAACTGGCTTGTACACTTGTACACTTGTACACTTGTACACTTGTACACTTGTACACTTGTACACTGGGACTGTGAATGGCTCCCACTCCCTGCGTTGCTGTAGAACAATATTTGACTAAGGGAAGAAAAAAGGGGGGCGGGGAAACAAACCTAACATGAAGACATTGTCACTGAGACAGCAACAAAGCAGTGATGGTCAGGAGTTGCAAGCCAGGCTGCTACCTCTGTTGTCCTGGTTACCTTACTCTCAGAGTGGTCACCTCCAGCTGTTAGGGTGAATAGGAAAAAGACACCACCAACCCTTGGGGATCCTGAATGGAGTAAAGTTTTGGCTCTGAGGAGCGCAGAACCTATCCAGAATGATGAAAACTCCTTCACTGAAACATGATTAGGGGAAAAGAAATCATTAGCTCAGTCAGGTCACGGAGTCGGGTCAGAACAACTTTCATATTATTGCCAATGTCCGTATTCAGAGAAATACATCTGCCAGTCTGCCTGTGGCCTTGGGGAAGTCAACCAATTTCAATCCTGTGTCTGGGTCCAAAGCTAAGCACAGCGTGGTGAGATGGTTTTTTCCTCTCTCTTTTCACTGTGTGATAGAGAATTGGTTTTCAGTGTCTTTTGTTGCCCTCTTTAATCAAATCCTCAATGGATTTAGTCTCCCTGAAACATCAGCCTTTGTGTCAAATCTCACCTCAAGAATCTGCTTCCTTTAAAAGTCATGTACAGGTTGGGTGCTACAATGTAGGGCAACTATGGCTTTTTATGCACAGTCATAGAAAATCTGAGACAATAGACCTTGTGAGTATTCTCTAGGGACCTTGAGAAGTAAACCAGGGGAAAGAGACTACTGTGGCCTTCATCCCATACTGAGACCAGACAAGTGTCAAAGGTATATTTCCCACTGTGTATGGATTTTTTTCACTGAAATGACCTGCTGTCCTCCTCTTCCCTCCAAACTGTAGGAAAAATATTTGAAGTCATATTCTTTTTCACAAGTATTCCCCACCTTGCCTTAAGGTTATTGGAAAAGGCCAGTTCATAAACTATTAAGAAGCAACTGACTGTCTCTGACATGCAAAACCTGGCACCATTCCTTAATTCATGTGATTTATTCCGTTTGAGGTGTTATTTATATTTTGCTTATTTATTTTTATTTGTTCCCCATACTTCCTGTTGCCTCAGGCTTATAACAAACATGTCAAATCTGTCTCAAATAGCACATTCCACAGCACTATCTCTGGTATACTCAATGCAGGAATAGTAGCTCATTTATAGTTCACATTATAATTCTTTCAGCCAGTCTTGCATTATATGGTAAAAAATGGAGCGTGCACATAGCAAGGGTTGCATTGACTATTTCTTTTCCTATAATAACAACATTATATGCATCCTGCTATATGTGCACTCTCCTAGGGCACCAACAGCTGTTGTTTTTAGAAGTTTAACTTTCTAGTTGTTAAAACATATTGTTAGTTTTATGTGTGTGTATATATATACTTTTTATCACCCTTATTGCTACTGTTTCTTCAATGTATTTCTAATATTGATTTATAACTTGGTCACTAAAGCTGTAGCCCTTTTGTTCTTGAACATCAACTGACTAATGAATTCAGATAGGATTGTCATGAAGGTGGGGCAAGACCAGCTTCCTCCCCTATCTTGCAGGCTGTGAGATGCTTTAAGCATGTGGCTAATATTCTGGATATTTGTTTTTTGAGAGAAGAGAATTTGGCTTTCAGACTTGTGATCCACTGTGCCATGCAAGAGGCTATTTTAGCACCAAGGAATAATAAGATAACCGTAGAATGCTTGGCTTTCCATTCAGTGAGAGTTCCCCGAGCTTACAGAAAGAAGATACAGCAAGTTCTTATTGTTATGTTCATCTGTTCTCGTGAGGATTCTTAATTTCCTTCAGCTGTACTTTGAGGAGGCTTAGGAAGAAGTCAGTAGGACTTAAAGGGCCTCCAGCAGTCCCTTTTAGTTGGAAAATGAAATCAAGGATGGAAGGCATTAGCCATGTCTATGTGGGCTTGGTAGAAGCTCATTGTGAAGAGAGCAATCAGAATTTCTTGGACCCTGACATTAGGATAAGAATTGGAGATTCCATTGGCATTGAAAGTGAGATATTTTGTGCCTAAGATGCTTCTTTTACATGTAATTCTCCGAAAAGTGTTATGGACCTGGGAAATGGTCGAAATTCCTTGCTTTGTTTGTTCTTGATGGCCAGTGTAATAAGTAACAATGTGCCTACAATTAACTACCTGAACATACCCAAGACCTCCCTCCCTCCGTCAGGCTGTGAATCGGGTTATATAGGGTAAACATGGGCAGTGACTCTAAAGGAAGAAGTGAGAATGGAAGGTTTAATCTTTTTATTTTACTTTAAAACTATAAAGTGGCAAATAGTATGCATTTCTGAGGTACAAAGAAATTAGGTTATGGTTTATGAATAGAACATGAAATAATTAAGTCAAAGTAATTAACATTTCCATAACAAAGTATAGATTTTAATTTTCTGTGGTAGAACATTTGAAATTTTCTCCTTTAGAAAATTTGAGACATTTAATGAACTATCATTTCTACAAGTTTTGGTCCCTGCTCATACACTCTGGTCTGTGTATAAAGTCAATAGCACTTCTCTACAAGGCTGCCCTCACATAATTTGGATCCTCTTGTTTCTAGCTCTAAATTTAGATTTACAGGAAGCACAGGCCACCTTATACTTAATTTCTCCCCCCCATGCTTTCTTGCACACTTGTATGGCTGAATACTATAGCATCTCTCCTTTCCCTATGCATAACCATTGTGGCACACTTCTGGGTTTCTATCCAACCTCAGCCTGGAATGGCCTCATGACACCTCAGTAAGGTAATGTATGTCCGTCTCAGGTCGGGAGGAATTTCCTCTGGAAATGCTTTCGCCACCTTAGCTCAGGGCTGGCTCTGCCCCTCTAGCTCGTGTGCCCTTTCCGGGCGTAGCATCACGCTGCTCTGAGCCGTCCTGTAAACCGTGAGCTTGCCCTACAGATTACGGGGTTTTCCACTCTCATTACCATCGTGTCTCACATTTTAATGCTTCCGCTATGATTTAGGAGAAAATGTTCTGTGGGAATTCTGACTGGTTTCCCATTTGCATCTTCCGGCATACAGTTTTCTGTCATGTTCGTGATTCTTAGTTTGATTTAAAAAAGTTTAGCATGTGAAACTTTGGATTGTGGTGGCAAAATATACTAATAGTTATTTGTTTACTAATAATACAGGTTTTACCTCAACTTTATTACTGAAGAAGTAGACAATCCTGAAAAGTAAGTAACCTAATTTACTGTGAGATTTTTGTTAGAAACAAAATTTGAATTTTCTAACTGAATAATGGGCTTGAAGAGGAAACCCAGTGTGGGCTGGTTAATTTCACTGCTGTTGATATCATTGAACTGTTAAATAAACTGACCAAAATTTTCACAATAATATATATCTTAATATTAATACATATCAAATACATTACACGTAACCATATACCATATTCAATACTAAATTGACTTATAATATAAAAGTAGGAAAGAATAAAGGTCTCTTTTGTATAACCTACTTTACATAAACATATACATATACATATACATAACATGGACTCTTTATAAGTGTAGTTTGAACTAAAAAAGTTGATTATTTCTACATTTACCTTAAAAAGAAATCTATGCAATTAGAGAGAATAATATAATGAATGGAAACTTTGTGAAGTAACTGAAAGGTGTTATAGGAACTTGTAAATTTTGGTGCTCAGTGATTTTTTTTTAACGTTTTCTTCCTTAAAAAAATTGATAGATGATTTGGTGTTAAACAAGTCAAAATAGGCTGCAAAATTAATTGTTTTCATGATTTGTGAATAAACATTTGACTTTGTATAGAAAAAAATAAATGTCTGTGAATTAAAGAAGGAAAATTTAAGAAATATAAAATATAATGATATTTAACTCATGTTGCTTTTATTCAGCATAGGCTATCTTCTAACCATTGTGCTAAGCACCTCTTTCAGGATGAATGAGGCTTATCTTCAAGTATTTTATTGTGTTCTCCATGAATGAAAGTGTGGAAACAGAAGTATAAGAGTGTGACTGATGCCACAGGAGAGTGTTAGCTAGCAAAGAGAAAATGAAAAGTCTTTAACTTTACCCTAGGGCATGTTTTCCATCAAGAGTCTCATGTAAGGAAGGGTCCCCAGGTAAACAGAGATACACACACACACACACACACACACACACACACACACACACACACACACACACACAGACATACACACGGGGTAGGGGGAGAGATAGAGATACATACACACAGGGATAGAGAGAGAACGAGAGGAGGGAGGGAGATAGAGCAATACAGAGAGAGATACAGAGAGATGCAGGGAGATACAGAGGGAGAAAGAAAGAGAGAGGGAGGGAGGAAGGGAGAGAGAGAGAGAGAGAGAGAGAGAGAGAGAGAGAGAGAGAGAGAGAGAGCACTCTGGTTTGTTGGAAGAAAAGCCGAAGTATGGAGTTGAGAAAGTATACCATTGTGAAATTGGTTGGAATCAGAGACTTTGCCTAAGGGGTTGACAGTTCAAGGTAAGATGAACTATCACATTATGGCCCCGGGTATCTTGGGAGATGGTTAGCTAATTACATTTGGCCAAGTATCAGAGATATCAGGGTTTAGAACATACAAGCCAACAATGGAAGTTAACATGATGCCTTATAGTATCTGATTCAACTGCTATGTAAATCAATATGTCATCTCAACATGAAGAAGGCCAATTCATTAAGATATATGGTCAATTTATAAGAATATTTTTATATTTGTCACTGAAATTAAAGGCAGAGGAAATATTTACCAGGAACCAATTCTTATGTTTCTTGGAAATGATAAGCAAGCTCCCCAGTGACTGTAAGCACATTGATTATAGAGATAAATAGGTAGGCCTGTCTTTTTAGTTTTGTAAACTTATTACTGCGTATGTGGTGATGCAGAGAAAGGACAGTTCATACTAGGTTTTATGTAAAGTATTTATTGAAATCTGATTATGTGAAGCAAATAACTAGGGCTTAGTATGGCATTTAAAGCTAAAACATTTTAAAGGGGCCAATTGCTGAATCTAATGTAAGAGAATATTATGAAAAATAGCAAGTTACGGTTTATGGACACGTTCTAGATCACAGTATCAGTGTTACAGAAGCAATTCATGTTCCAGGTTGAGTTACTTAACAATTTAGACAGACGTGTTTGCTAACGTACATGTTGCCATTGTGTGTGTATGTATGTGCTGTCTTTAAGTGTTTCACACCACTGTTACGTGTTTCTGATGCACGGCCCTGGAGTGGTGCTTGGGTGAAGGAGTCTCTTCCTTAGCTACATTTCATCTCTTAGTTTCTGACATGGATTAAGCCCATGCTTCAGTGTCTACACACACTAAAGAAAGGTGATGGTGATGGATTGATTCAGTGAATTTTTTCACTGAAAAGAAAATTTTCTTGTCTAAAAAGAAAACAACGGGGGGCTGGAAAGATGGCTCAGCAGTTACGCGTGTGTGCTGCCCTTTGCAGAGCACTGGAGTTCAGTTCCCAGCACCTACATCAGGCCCTCACCACTGTCTCTCACTCCAGCTCCAAGGAGTCCTGTGCCTTTGGCCTTCATAGACACCTGTACCCGTGTACATATGCCACCACACAGAGATTAGCACACACATAGCCTTCAAAGATTAAAATAAATCTGAAAAGTAAAAAATAATAATAGTATATGCCTTACTGGATGTACTGAAGAGTTAGTACATATATTTAGATTAACGAGAGTTAGTTTTTAATCTCTACATAAGTGATTGTTGCTACCTTTATTGTTGTATTCTTATTTTAGAGCAAGGCAAACTGTTACTTATTTAACAGTGTTTTCTAGGTTTTGACATTCCAAGCAATTGTCTTTTCTCAGTCATTCTTGAAAGGAGTATGAAAAATTACTATATTGTATTGAATCCAGTCCCTGCAATTTTCAGGGCTGGAGTTGAATATTTGTTTCATTAGTCTTATTTTTGTACATAGAACTCATTGAGGTTTTATATTTAGAGAAGTAAGGCTACTTTATAATGGAAAAAATAAATACAACTTTTATAATAATTAAAAACTACCTTGGACCTGGAGAGATGGCTCAGCAGTTGTGATCACTTGTTGCTCTTCCAGGGGATATGAATGAGCTTCCCAACACCCACATCAAGCATCTCACAACCACCTGTAACTCCAAACAACTTTAGTTCTTTCAGCACCTACACACAAGTGGTGTGCATGCACAGACATAGACACATACACATAACCAAAACAAATCTTTAAAAGGAACTATAAATCACTCTTAGAATATTATTACTTGGTATGTATTAGAATAAAATAAGATTTTGAGAGACTCAAATGACTGTAGTTTCAATCATAAAGCTCCACACAACCCCAAGAAATACTAGAATTTTAAAATATTGGCTCAAATACATTCAGTTTCCGGAAGTGTTGATTCTGATGATGATACATTCTTTGCTAAACTTATGTATAACAGTTTTAATTCAATGTCTAATTTTTAAGATTTCATTTTATTACTTTAAATTATATATGTGTGTATGTCTTTGTGTCTGAATGTGCACAGGAGTGCAGGTGTCTGCAGAGGCCAAAGTGTTAGATCTCCTTGAGTCATGTCAGTTGTGAGCCTCCCGACGTGGGTGCTAGAAATAAAAATTGGGTCATTTAGAAAGTGTGCTTTTTTAATTATATTTTTTATTATTTAGAATAATTTTTAAATTTAAATGTATTTTGACCATATTCTTTCCCTCCTCCAAATCCTTTCATATCCTCTCCCCCTCCCTACTCACCTAACTTTAAGTTCTTTCTCAAAAAGAAACAAAAACCCAATATAACAACAAAATGAAGAAAACAAAATAAAACCGGTGACCCAGCTCTCCCCCTAAATTGTAACCAAATAAGCACACACACACACACACACACACACACACACACACACACACACACACACAAAACAGTGGCATCCAATCAACTACTCTTGAACATGAGGCCTATCCTAGAGTGGTTGATATACCCAGTGTCACTCTATTGGAGAAAATTGATGTTCCCTCTCTCAGCAGGTATAAACACCAGTTCCGTTGTTAGCTTTTACCCTAGTGGCTAGTTTTCATTTATTTATTCATTCATTAACTCATTAATTAATTAATTTTTTAAATACAACAAAATAAAATATAATAGGATAAAACAAAAACTGTCTCATCAAAATTGGACAAGACGAACCAGCAGAAGGAAAAGAGAAGGTACAAGAGTCAGAGACCCACTCATTCCCACACTCAGGACTCCCGTCAAAATGCTCAACTGTAAGCCATAATATACATGCAGAAGACCTGGTGCAGACATGTGCAGGCCCTGTGCATGCTGCTTCCGTTTCTGTGAGTTCATATGAGATTTGATCATGTTGATCTAGAGGGCCTTGCTTTCTTGGTGTCCTCCATCCCTCTGGCTTTCCATCTCCTCTTCCATGGGGTTCCTGAGTTCTGAGAGGAAGGATTTGATGGAGACATCTCATCTAAGGCTGAGTGTTCTAAGGTCTCTCACTTCATGTGTAGTGTCTGGCTGTGGGTCTCTGTGCTCCCATGTGCTGCAGGAGGAAGCTTTGCTGATGATGGCTGAGCAAGGCACACTGATCTATGAGTTTAGCAGAATATCATTAGATGTCATTTTATTAGTCTCAGTTTCTTGGTCACTCAAGCAGTTGGGTATGGGTTCCATCTCGTGGAGTGGGTCTTTAGTTAAATCAGTTGTTGATTGGTTACTCCCACAAGCTTTGCGCCACGATCGCCCTCATATATCATGCAGACAAGACACCACTGTAGATAAAGGGTTTGTGACTAGCTTGGTTTTGTTTCTCTGGTGGTTTTGACAGTGTGCAGAGTACCTTCCTGTTCTAAGGACACTGGAATGTAGGTGAAGGCTTTATGTAGGCACTGGCTAAACATCTCCATGTTCAATGAGTTGTGTATGTGTTGGCTTCAGCAATGGGCCTTGCTGTCAGTGTGGAGAGCAAGCCGGGTTTGTTTGGAGATTCCTATATGACCCCTTTGGCCAACAACTCAATTAGATGTAAACTAACATTCTCGTAACTGCTATGAAATCTCTCATATAGCGTCTTACTTTAATGTCTTACTTAAGGGATTTCTTAGTACATGTTAAGAGTCTTCAGAATTTTGAAGTCATTACAATGAGACAAGTTGAAGAACAAAAGCTTTGATTCCTTTTTCTTCTTT